TGTGTCAAATATTGAGGGTGGTTGTTATGCAAATTGCATTGATCTCGCTAGGGAAAAGGAACCTGATATCTGGAATGCCATCAAGTTTGGAACTGGTATCATCCTGGCCCTTCATTGTCCATGATTTTGTCCTTTACTGGAACATTAGCACATTTTCAAGTCGAGAGTTAACATATTTGCTTCTGTGGCAGTGATAGAAAATGTGGTGTTTGATGAGCATACCCGAGAAGTGGATTATTCCGATAATCTGTAACAGGTAAAATACACCAGTCATATATATTTATGAATGAGCTGTATGATCTTGGGGTTTCAAACAATATACCGAGCACATACAAAATAGGTTTTGGGTTTGATACTCTAACATATGACTAATAACATTGGATTGAAATCCACCCAAAGAGTTACAAAGTCTTTACAATTATCTGTGTTGTTTCATGTTGTGACTTGACTCTTTTTATCGCAGAGAACACTCGGGCAGCATATCCAATAGAATACATCCCTAATGCTAAGATACCATGCGTTGGTCCTCATCCCAAAAATGTCATTCTTCTGGCCTGTGATGCTTTTGGCGTGCTCCCCCCAGTGAGCAAGCTGAGCCTTGCCCAGACCATGTACCACTTCATCAGCGGCTACACAGCTCTGGTGCATTCTTGTTAAACACTCTTTTTCGCTTCGAAGGAACTACACGATTGACATTCTTTGCAAAACGGCTAAACTGTTCAAACTTGTACTCCTCAGAATCACATTTTTGTAATGTATCTTGCGATAATTGGAACAGGTTGCTGGAACAGAGGATGGTATAAAGGAGCCAACAGCAACATTTTCGGCATGCTTCGGTGCAGCATTTATAATGCTCCATCCTACTAAGTATGCAGCCATGCTGGCTGAGAAAATGAAGCAGCACGGAGCAACTGGATGGCTTGTTAACACTGGTTGGTCAGGTGGAAGGTGAGATCTTCATCATAAGAATCTTCTACTATGATGCATTTTCAATTAATTGGAGAGAAATCCTCCAAAACAAAAACACCAAATGGAGATAAATTTGATCTTCTGTTTTGTTGCAGCTACGGATCAGGTAGTCGTATCAAGTTAGCTTATACCAGGAAAATCATCGATGCCATACACTCGGGAAGTCTTCTAAAGGCAAACTATGTCAAGACCGATGTGTTTGGGCTTGAGATCCCAACTGAAATCGATGGCGTGCCTTCAGAAATCCTAGATCCAGTGAACACAGTAAGTTGGCATACGATCTTACCATTCCTTTTTAGTTACTTCTCAGGTCTCAGTTGTTGTTGTTTTTGGGTTTATGGCGTTTTGTTAAGTGAATCCATGTATTTGCCTTGGATTGTAGTGGTCTGATAAGAAGGCCTACAAGGACACCCTGTTGAAGTTGGGGGACTGTTCAAGAAGAACTTTGAGGTATTCACAAACTACAAAATTGGAACAGACAACAAGCTGACTGAGGAGATCCTGGCAGCTGGTCCGATCTTCTGAGTTGGAGAAGCTCTGTGGTTGATGGAAAGAGTCTGAACTAGCAAATAAAAAGATGGTTGTAAGAATGTGTGTTTATTAATGTGCCTCAGTTGCATTTGTTAGGAAGGCTGGCTTTTGTATGTTTGGTTCATTTTCTGTCTACTTGAGCCTAGTTATGTATTCGCTTCACTGTGCTGTAATTTCCATCCAATTGATTATGTCATGCCTAAAATAATTTCCCCCATCAAGAAAATGTCCTCAGAGATTCTTAACTGGTTTCAGAGTGATTAGGACAGCATTTGGCTCTGCAATATGAGAATCTGAACTTCAAGTGTTCTTAACAATATGAAGATCCCAGACGGAAGTTTTCTTCCGAAGATGGGTGGGGCAAAAACATCAGCCTTTATTTAGGAGGGGCGTGGTGGTGGTGGTGGTGGGGGGGGGGGGTGACGTATAGAAGGTGTCAGGATTGATCAGAGTGGACAATTGGGTGGAGGAGGACAGCTTAAACGTGAACTTTCTTTGAGGATCAAGAAAAGAGCTTTTGGACAAAAGGTATTGTATACGTGAACAACAATAAGAACCATACATTGGCAAGGTTTTAAAATGATTTGCAAACACAATGAAGCACCAAACATATCAAAGAGGTAGAAAAAGGAGGAGCTGGTTATAAAGAGAGTGCCACTTTGGACTCATTGGTGAAGATAGTAACAACTTTTGACATGACGTGCGATCCCATAAAAACTCGCAAAAATTCCTTGAGTCCGAAAAAGGAAAAGTTAGATTGTATGCATATAGCAAACAGGTTCAACATATCACAAGCAGAAAAAACCTAAACTGAGCAGAGGCATCAACTAAGCAACATAATGAACCATATACGAATCTGCATGGGTGCGTAGAACTGAATGCCCTTTTGATATATATTTCCCCTTACACATTTGTCAGGAGGGAGGAGAAAGGACAAACAATCGAAGAGCAAACTACCAACTCCCTTTTATCATGAGGTCAATAATGGGCAACATTCAACGAGGGAAACACCTATCTGTACCAGGTTTTTCAAAAGACACACTTTAAAGAAAAGATATTGAAACATCTCAATGCAAAACAACAGCTGAAACCCAAGAAGAAGAGCTCAAACTCGTATGATTAATTTCTCAAGGTGAGGCAAATAAATTTTGCTGGCAGCTCATCACAATGAGATTGAAACTTTTCCCTGTCACATACTTTACTATTTCCCCAAGTAAAAACCATATTGTTTCAATCGTAAAGCTGCAAAATATTCCACCTTAACTGATTTTGCTTTGTCCATGGCTCCATAACCGAACACTACATATAGAGACCATTGTAGACCACTACCAAAAATTACAAGGATCTTGATAGTCCGCCTCACATCTAACATATGCAAATCAATGGGAAGCAAGAGAACCAAATTCTATCAATGCAAGGGTGCTTACTTTTTGGCGACAATAATTCATCCAATCATCCTATCGAATTTGATTCCCCTATCTTATCTAATATTGCACATTCTTTCTTGATAATTTTGAAGCTTTATTCTTGTAGTAGAATCTTGTAGTTTTGATGTCTAGCCCACCAGTATTAGAACTTGCCTTCTCTGTCTTTTTTTAATTTTTTTGTAAAATGTACTGGTAAATGCATGATCAACACATTCATAAAGAATAAGCGCATACAAACTCGAAAAACGTAAGGTAACGGGCATATTACAAAGAAGTAACAGACTTCAAGAGTGAACCCACGAAATTACTTCAAGATTATGATTCCAACATAATATATTCTAATTTACCCTATTACTGTATACCTCCTGATACATCTCATAAATTTTACATTGAGAAATTGAAGTTTATTTTGCTGCGCCTAGAATTCCAATCTACAATGGAGGTCTATGATCACAACTTCACAAGACTTTTTCAGTTCAAATACGTATAATTGAAGTGATGATTAACAGACTTACCCCAAACAAAAAAGTGAAGATTGCACAAGAATAGCTCAAATTCCACATTACCTACACGTATAATTAGTTTCTCAGTTTCAGGCAAACAAGCATAGCTGGCAGATCAAGAGATTGGAACATTTCCCTGTCATACTTAACCGTTTCCCATGTTACAATCATAAGATTTCAGTTACAAAGATGAAAGATAATCCACCTTAATTGGTTTTGCTTTGTCCATGCTTGACCCCTAAATGTAGAGTCCATACTAGACCACTACCAAAATTCAAAATGGTATTGATAGAGGACCACTCATCTAATACTCCAATCAACCTGTAGCAACAGAGCCAAATTCAAAGCAGGCTTACTTTTTCCTAACAATTATTCCTCCCATTCAAATTTAATTATCCTTTCTTGTCTAATATTCTACATTCTTTCTTGATACTTTTGAAAGTTAGTGGAACCTTGTGGTGATGATATCTAGCACAACCGTATCAGAATTTGCCTTCACTACTTTTCGGGAAACAAAAGAGAGAGAAGAGAGAGAAAAAATACTCAACTTGTCAGAATAGGTTTAAGATGCAACTTGTGAGATGCCCCCGTCTATAAAACGTTCAAAACACATGCAATAGAAAAAGGTGCATATTATGTATATGGGCAGGAAAATGCATGATCAACAGATACATAAAGAATAAGTCCATAAAAACTTCAAAATGCATAATGCAATAGGCATATTACGCAAAAGAATAACCAAGCTTCAGGATAGAACACACGAAATTACTTCCAGATTATGATTCGGATAAATATATTATAATGTCCGGAATTAATTGTATACCTCAGGAGGCATCTCATAAATTATACATTGAGACGCTAAAATTTATTTTACTTCACCAGTCTATGATCTCCACAACACAACAAACTCCTCAACAGCCTTACATGCAAATAAGTCATTGAGATTCGGTAGATGAGGCTGCATCATCTTTGTGCTTAACCATGCCAGAATCCACAAGGATGGGGATCTCTGCAGCAAGCCATGGTGCAAGACCCAAACAAAGAGCATGTGCTATGCCAAATCTAGGACTGCAAAACATAAACCAATTGTATAAGTAGTAGTATCTTCAATAGAAACAGAAAGACTTCCATAAGGAGAAATCATCTCCGCATTCAAGTGAATAGTTCTCCAAGAAATGTTCCAATTATAAATCTATGAGTTTTCATGATCTAATCACAATCTTCCATCAGGACATAGCTCAAAGTTACTTAATCCAAAGCATCATTAATGAAAACCTATCAAAATTCCTAAAATTCGTATAATAGCTCAACTATGTCACATCATGAGAATTACAAACTAAACCTTAACCTTTCAAGATTGAAATCAAAAACAACATAATCAATCATACCAATTCTTCGCCCACAGTGGCTTGAAGTGCACTGTCAAACAAATCTTCCCTCCTCTATACATCTGCAACCCCAAAACCACCAAAAAAACAAAAAAAAAATTAACCGATTAATTGCTTAAATCATAAGCCCTAATCAATCAAACATGAATAATTCCAAATTGAACCAAAATTCAGAACCTTCTGAGTCTTTCCATCTAGCTGAGGCAATTCAAGTTCCGGAGCAGTAGCCGGGTACGTCACCGGAATGTCGAATTGGAGGTCGAACTCGTTCTTGAGTAGGTTATGAACGTACCAACACTTGCCGGTCCAGCGCGTGCCCTCTGGGTTTGCGGCAGATATTCTAAACCAATCGTTGTCTCTGGACTTGTTCATCGACGTGTAGGCGATCAACGCCTTGTACTCCTCCTTCAGCCTCTGCGTCCACGCCGCTCCGTCGCGAGGACCAGCCTTTGTGGAGAGCAATGGGATCTGAGTTAGGGTTGATTTGGTATTAGGGTCCCAACCCTCCATTGTCGAAGCTCGAGGCCTAACCCTTCAATGTCTGTGAGAATAACCAATTTACGACAGTCGCATAACTGGCTGCGTCGCTGGGTTTATATATTGGAGAAATTAGAGTCCTGTGAGAAAATGGTTAAGTCCAACAAATAAGTCATTTGTTTTTAGGGTTTTTCATTTTCTCGACTCTTCACTTGGAAAGATATTTCGTTTCAAACTTTATATTTAAAAAAAAAAATTATATTTTACTCTAAATATTATAAATTAGTTTTAATGTGACCTTTGAACTAACATCTATTTTAAATTCTATTAAAAATTAATACACATGTCATCCAATGATATGAATAATAAATTTATATTTTTGCCTAACAAAAACATACGTGGTTGACATGTGCATCAATTTTTAATAAAATCTAAAAGAAATATTAACCCGAGGGCCATTGAAATTTATTTATGACATTCAAGGTGTAATGTAAAAAAAATAATCTCTCACGATACAAAGTGAAGATTGAAACATTTTCGGGATAAAAAGTGTGAAAAGCCCTTGTTTTTATATGCAACTCAATTTACTTATATCTCAACTAATCTCTTATCTGATTCAATCAAAAACTTATCATAATAAATAAGTTTTATTTTCATGATTTATTCTAACAAATCATAATTTCATTCTTTTTTTTTTATCCTTTTAAGTGTTTAAAATATTCAGTTTTAAGTATTAAAAGGCATTAACAAATTGCCCATAAAATTTGTGTATTTTTTCTTTTTTAAAAGTCCAACGTCATGGATGAAAGGAATTCAAATTCATTCTTAAGGGGTGTTTGATTTGCGACAATACCTTTGAATAAAAATAGAATTAACATAAGAATGAAATGGAATAAGCATTATCATTCCCATGTTTGGTAATTAACTTGGGATTAATCTTGGAATGGAATGTGCATTCCATTCAGATATTTGAATTAAATTATATATGCTAAAATAGAATGAGATTTGACAAAAATATAAAAAAAAATTATCATAGAATTTGTAACTTAATTTAACATGCTAACTACTATTAATTTTAGAACTTGACAAATAAGATTAAATGCACAATTAATTCACACACAAAATAACATAAAATTCACCCAAAAAAAATATTAAAATTTGAAAACGGACATGACAAATAAAAAAATCTGAAATGCATAAATTTCATTATCATATATAATCCTCCATAACTTGCTATTCAGGTATACAAAGAAACTTGTAAGATAATGTCAAACTAGTAAATAAATCAAGGACAAAAACACAAGCACACAAGATTTGTATTAGTCTCACTTTTGACTACAACCAACTGGATGTAGTTTAATATTCATAAAACAGATTGCTTATGAAATGAATAGCATACAACATTCAAGTATCACTTAAAATATTAAAAAATTCATCAATCATACGCAATCCACGTATTGCTTGTTTTTTAACAATGCATATGATCGATATAGGAAAACAGTTCATCCACCGGTCTTATATGATTTATATCATGAATTATAAAATTGACCTAACAAATACCCGCTATAAAGCAATATTTTTCTCATTTAAGACTATCGTCGAACAAATTTTGGTTATTACCGCGCCCACGTGATTTAACTTGATCGCCCAATAGGTTTTCAAACAAAGTCAACTATATAAGCTCCAAAAACTAAAGCAACTGTACAAGCACAACAATTACCCATTGATCAAAGCTACTCAGAGCTATGCAATTGTTGACTAAAAATAAGGAATAAGTTGAGATTAGTGGTCACAGTGGATACTTGTCTAGTTTAGGATGATCTTCGTCGTCGTTGATTCTCTTGCTTCAAAAACCGATGAAAAGTAGGTAGATAGCTCGTAAGAAGGGAGAAAATAAGTTGTGGAATGTCATGGGTCTCGGTAAAAAAGAGTTGAGAGATGAGAAGAGGAGTGGAGGAGAGAAGAGAGATTTTCGGGAGGAAGGTGCAAGTTGATAAGGGAAAACGAGGCAATGGGGATTGAGAGGAGTCGTGTTTTTCGTGATTATGAATTTGAGTTCATTACGGAGTCATTGAGAATGGAAAACTATCATGTCTTATTTGGTAATTGGTAATCTCATATTTTTTGGGATTAACTATTTATTTGGAATGAGAATGAATTTAATTGTCACAAACCAAATAAAGGAATATTTATTATTTAGAGAATCTTCGATTCTGACTCAAATTTAGATTTAAATTTAAATTAGTGTAAAAAAAAAGTGCAAAAAACTTGTTTCAACCTTTAAGTCAAACTTATACCAAATCAAGGAAGAGTCATTTTTTTACTCAACTTAAGAGAGACTTAGGACCTGTTTGGTTTCCATTTCAAAAAATAGTATCTAAAAACAATTTTTGAGAAGAGTTTTAAGAAAGTGATTTTGATATTTTTTGAGAAAAAAAATTTGTTTGGTTAGATGATTTCAAAAACAATTTTACAATATAAAAAATAGTAAAACCTGCTTAGACAGACTAAATATATATTTGAACAGTAATTCAAACATTAATAAAAAAATATAAAAAAATTATTTTTAGATTGACAATTTCACATATATATATATATATACTCATATCTGAAGATCCAAAATTGTTCTCCTTGTTTTCAAAATTTTTAAAAAAATTTCTGAAAACAATTTACATTTGTTTTATGTTTCTTTGACTCAAATCTCATTTTTTTCTCAAAATTTAGAGAACAAAAATGTTAAACAAACAGATTTTGGGTGTTTTTGAAATTTTGAGAAAAATAAACTATTTCCGGATCACAAACCAAACATGACCTCAAATTTTACCCAAATCTTTAATGGTGAGATTTCACCATCTTTTAAAAATTCAAAAATTATCTTTACTTTCTTTTAAATTTAGGTTTGACCACATTTAAATTTTAATTCGTCTATTAAAACTCTTTGTATCAAATTAATTTTTTTATTTAAATATTAATTTAAATTTAAATAAAAAATTGAGTCATTATTAAAAATATTCTCCATAATACTCATTTTATTTCTTTGGTCTAATATCACGCACCAAACAAAACATAACTCTTTTAACTATGAACTTAGTTTCACTTTTTACTTCGTTTAAATTTGGATTACTCTTTTTTTTTAAATTTGAATTTGTCTATATTGAGTCATTTGTACCAAATTAAAATTTTGATTTAAATATTAATTTAAATTTAAATAAAAAATTGATCGACGGTTGTAGTCATGTACCGGCCATGCTGAGAAAAGTCACGCTGACAATTTCTTGGAAGCCACCAATCACCATGACCGACCACCATTCAACCCAAACACAGTTGACAGTAAAGTAAACTCCAAAAAGCGTTGAAGACGATCAGTTTCTTCAAAGCTTACCCTGTTGATTGATCTTCGTTCCACTTCAACAAATTCCAAAATATGGCAGAAATTGTTTTGCCTGCCCTTCTGGGAATGGTTTTCGACAAGTTAACTTCTTCTGTGCTACAAGATTTTGGGTGTGCGAGAGGACTCAAGAAACAAATGGAAAAGCTAAGTAGCACGTTGTTGTTTATCCATGCCGTGCTTGAAGATGCACAGAAGCTGCAAGTGAAAGACAAGTCATTGACTCTATGGCTGACAAAGCTGAAGCATGTAGCTTTTGAAGCTGATGACTAGCTCACCGAGTTCATGGCAGATGCTTTACAGTGGAGAATGGGATTTCGGGAGAGTTTTAAGAGCCAGGTACGCAATTTCTTCTCTCCTTCCAATTCCTTGGCTACTCGGATTAGAATGGGTCGTAGGCTAAAAGCAATCCGCGAAACATTGGAAATGATTGCTCAAGAAAGATCTAGTTTTCGTTTGTCTGACGGGGTAATCACCCAGATGAAAAGAAGACCGGAGACGGGTTCCTTCGTAATTGAGTCTGAAATTGTTGGTAGAACAGATGATAGAAATGGAATTGTTCATCTTCTAATTGGGACAAGTACTGATGAAAGAGATGTATCAGTCATTCCCATTGTGGGTATTGCAGGGGTGGGGAAGACAACCCTTGCTCAATTGGTCTATAATGATGAGAGGATAGAGAGGAATTTTGATATGAAGTTGTGGGTTTGTGTTTCATTCGAATTTGATTTGAAAAAACTTATGGAAGCCATCATCCAATGTGCTACAAAGAGCAGATGTGACCTTCTAGAGATGGATATCCTTCAATCTAGGTTGCAAGAATCGTTGCGTGGGCGAAGATTTCTACTCATCATGGATGATGTTTGGAATGAAGATCATGAGGAGTGGGAGAAATTAATTACTTTATTAAGATGTGGTGATGGAGGAAGCAAATTCATTGTAACTACCCGTAACCAAAAGCTTGCCCTATTGACAGGCACAACTTCACCTTACCATTTGGGGGGATTGTCTGATGATAATTGTTGGTCTTTGTTCAAGCAACGCGCTTTTGGTCGGGGAGAAGAAAAAAACTGTCCAAAGTTGCAGCCAACAGGAAAAGAGCTGGTGAAAAAATGTGGAGGGTGCCATTGGCAGCAAAGACATTAGGAAGCCTCATGCGGCTCAAAAGAGATGAAAGGGAGTGGTTGTTTGCGCTGGAAAATGAAATCTGGAACTTGCTCCAATGTGATGATGGATTTCTACTCTCGATAAAGTCGAGTTATGATCATTTGCCACCACAAGTCAAGTCATGCTTTACGTACGGCTCTGTTTTTCCTAGAAATTATGAAATTATCAAAGAGAAGCTAATTCATTGTTAGAGCATGTGTGGCTCATATTTGCTGTGTGCATAATGGCAAGGAGGCAGATGCCGGAGCGGAGCCCGCGACGGCATCTGCCTTGCGGGATTTAAATAAAGGGGACGCTGATTAGTTGGGGGTGCGGGGGCAACGCCCCCACAGTACGGTACAGGGGTATTTTTGTAAATACGTCCATATTAGAGTTATATAAATACTTAAGATGTAACCCTATTCTATAATGGAAAAGAACGGCCGCTCGCTCTCGTGGATGTAGGCACATTGCCGAACCACGTAAAATCTCTGTGTGTTATTTTCTCCTGCTTTCTTAATTGTTTGATTCCTTACTATTCACCATAATTGCTGCACGATCACAACATTCATTTATGGATGGCAGAAGGTCTGGTTGTCCAATCTAGAGGAACTAAACTACTAGAAGACATTGGAAATGATTGTTTCAATGAGTTATTGTGGAGATTCTTTTTCCAGGAGACTAAAACAGATGAGTATGGCAAAATAATAAGTTTAAAATGCATGATATCATTCATGATCTTGCTGCTTGTGTCATGGGAGATGAATTCATAGTAATGAAGCTTGGCCATGCATCAAATAGTCTTGCACAAGCACCTCATTCGTCACTAGTTGGCTGTTCTGAATTGCCTTTATTCCCAGATACCTTATGTGAAGTGAAAAATGCACGAACGCTTATGATGTTTTTTCCTAAAGGTGACATTAGAGAAGTCCCTCCACAAATGTTCTCAAATTCCAGGTACTTACGTGTGCTCGATTTAACAGCATCTGGTATTGTGCAGTTTCCTGAATCTTTAAGTTGTCTAAAATGTTTAAGGTACCTTGATTTCTCACATACTCGGTTACGAACATTACCTAGCTCTACAGGCAGCCTCTATAACTTGCAGACTTTAAGTCTTTTTGAATGCTATAATCTACTGGAATTGCCAAAGAGCACAAGATGCTTACTTAGCTTGAGGCATCTCAACATAAAAGGTTGTGAATCATTGACTCATATGCCAACCAGGGTGGGGGAATTAAGAAATCTTCAAACCTTGCCAATGTTTATTGTGGGCAATGGAGTTGGGGAAAGCATCAAAGAGCTGCAATGCCTAAACATTCGGGGAGAGCTAGATATCAAAAACTTGGAGAATGTGAACAATGCTATAGATGCCCTTGTAACTAACTTGAAAGAGAAGCAAAACATTTACTCACTGGGATTATCTTGGGGAAATAATGTGGAGGATCTACAGGAGAAGCACAGTAGACCACTTTGGCCATCAAGACAGCAACATCATCATGCTGAATTCACGAGAAACAGTGAAGACATCCTTGCATATCTCAATCCAAATTCGAACGTAAAAAGATTATCCATAACAAGGTACCCAGGAATTGCATTTCCAAATTGGATAAGGGGTGATGCCTTACCAAATCTCACTACGGTTAAGTTGATCAAATGTGCCAGACGTAAGCAACTCCCTTCTCTTGGGGAACTTCCCTGTCTCAAATTTCTTTACCTGAATGGATTGCACATGACACAGAAGATTGGCATTGAGTTCTATGGTAAAGACACAACTGTGCCATTCCCAACACTGAAATAACTTACAATAGATGATTTCCTCAATCTAGAAGAATGGATTAGTTTTAGTGAAAGTGAAATGATGCCTTGTTTGGGAAAAATGATTATAAAAAGTTGTCCTAAGTTGACAAAAGTGCCGTGCCTCGCATCTGTTCATCATTTGGAGCTGGAAAACTGTAATGAAATGCTATTGGGTTCAGCAGCTAATTTTCCATCGCTTACCAGTCTTGTAATTCATTTGTTTCCGGAGCTCACGTATCTACCAGAAGGAATGCTTATAAATAAGTCTGTTCTCACGTCTCTTGTGATTAGCAGTTGCCCCAAGCTTTTGTACCTACCTGATGAGTTTATTCACCTTGTATCCCTAAAATCATTGGTGTTTCGTCGATGTAATAGTTTATCATCTTGCCCACCAGAACTGCAGAGCCTTTCTTCCTTGACATCCTTGGAGATTTGTGATGTCCAAAAATGCCTACTTTGCAAGAAGAAATCAGAGGTTTGATTTCTCTGCAATCTTTGTCCATTGAAAATTTTAGTAATATATCTTCCCTGTCCATGGGACTTCAATGTTGCACAACACTGCAGCAGTTGACAGTTGTGCATTGCCCAAACCTGGCCTCTTTGCTGGCAGACATCCAACATCTGTCTGCACTTAAAAGTTTGATCATTTTAAGGTGTCCAGAGCTGGAATCTCTACCATATGAGCTTACACAAATCAGAACGCTGCAGAGTCTGGAAATTCAAAGTTGTCCTGGTCTCAGAGCTTTGCCAGATTGGATTGGGAACATTCCCTCTTTACAATCTCTAGCAATTTTGGATTGCCTTAATCTATCTTATCTGCCAGCGGGACTTAAACATCACAAGGGCCTCCAGCATCTCTCAGTTCAAGATTGTCCCAAGCTAGAAATGACTGTTTGAAAATGGAGATTGGAGAGGTGAAAATTGGTAAAAACAAAAGCATACTCTGTACAGAAGTTGGGCCATTTTATTCCATGCAGCAGAATTCGACAAGAAGCTCTTCAATATCATAAATTTTCTGCAATCACCAGGTATCTAAACTTTCTATTTTTGCCTTCCAACTGAGTATACGTTCACTCGTGAGCCTTAATCACCAGCTATCTCAACTTTTTTTGTTTTATCTTGGTTAGATTCAACATTCTCTCATGACACCTGTAAAAGTCAGCACCATATGTTCAGTGAAAAAGCTCAAACTTGGAGTTCCATCTGAGAAAGAATGGCTGCGATGCCTTTTGGCATTTGAATGGAATACAAGTTGTTTCAATGCTGTTCCTGATCAACATTGGGAGCCAGCATGTAGCAGTGCCGGAAGCACAAGAAGACCATTCCATTTGTTCGAATTGCTAGCTCTCAAAGACATACAATGAACTTCTGGTTGAGCGCAAATGCGAACTCTCAGGTCAAGTATGTTATGGTTGTGCTCTCATTGGTATTTGGAATTACTGAATCACATTTAAAGGATACCAAATATTGCAGCCGCCCAACAAAACTATCCTTGCTTACTTTTGATGTCTTTATGGAAGAGTTGATATTCTGTAATTGTTTATTTCGGAGCAATGCATATCTTGTACCACTAGTCCCCAAGCCTTGTTCACTAAGTAATGCTTGTCTCATGGATTTTTTTTCTGTTCCAATTATGTTCTGGCAAGTTAAACTCATGTTATGTTGCTTGACAGTTAATTAATTTTCATCTCTAGCTTCAACTTAATATCCTCGAATTTAAAAAATTTCAACACTCTGAAATTATTTACAACATTGTTTTAGAAATTTCTCCATTTGCCGCCAGAATGCCGTCTATTGCTGTGTGATACTGCAACAACTCATGATTCTGGAGCACTATGATCATATACTTTCTGCTGCCCTTTTGGCCTGCTGATGCATGGCACTTCTCAATACTCCAGAGATTTCAGTACTTTCTAAGATGTCGAAATGCTGAAGTTGGCACCTGTGTATAGGGGATATAATGTGTCACAACTCAGAACAAATAAATATAACAAAATAACATGCCTGGCAGGGAAGATCCCCTGCCTGGATTAGAATAAAACTTCCACAGATAATCTTTTGCAATATTTGTGACCATCGTAGCATCACATCACTCGCAACACCTCCAGAATTTCTGTGGCTGAAAATGTCCAAGTTTGAGAATCAAGGTAAGAAAGGTACTGGCAATAGCCGACTAAAAATATAGCTCCTGTAGTGTTGCATATAGCTGTAATCTATCGCCAGAGCTCAGGCCACAATGCTCCTCTATTCTTAGCAAGTCACGTCCACCTTTCTGGCTTCTTACATTACCATCACTATATTATATGCTTTCTGCTATGATCTTTTGCAAGCACATTGGCGTTCGATTTTGGTTCTCGAATATCTTTCATTCTGGTGAGCAAAACGAATTCAAGCTTGACAAGTTTTCTCTCTTTTTTTTCCCTTCATGACTCTCTCTCTCTCTCTCTCTCTCTCACAATTTTGACAGTTAAGCATGGGATACTCTTTGTTGATTGCATGCCATGCATTAATTAGAGCTCTAACATGCACTCCATCAAATTTTGCATTAGAACAGTTGAAATTGGATACAAGTAAATCCTGAGCTCAAGTTGAAAGAGATATGACTCTTCAATGGATAATTACTAGTTAGTTAGTCTAATGAACAATGATGGATGTGTGGAATTTTATATATGGCATGTGAAATTCAATACATAGCACCATTCCTCTCAAATTTGGGATTTGATTTTTTTTTTTCAGACTTTTCCTTATTTCTTTGGGTTGGTATTCGATTATTTTGAGTTTCATGAGAGAGATTTTGTAACCGCAATCAAAATAAGATTGGTTTATTGTCATTATAATTGTGCACAATGCTTTGGTAATGACAACTCAAGCACATTAAACTTGGTTAATACTTCATATCAGTGGCTGAAGGTGCTTGTTGTCCACTGTTTTAAAAAGCTCAATAGTGGATATATAATCTTTTTAAATAAATACTATCGTATCGATAATAAAATATAAATTTAATTTTTTTTGATATGTAATTTAACTCAACAACATATATTTTAATTTTTTATTAACTAAAATTTTTATTTAACTAATGCAGCTATGTTGAGTTGTTTTGGAGGTACATTTTACTTATAATATGCACGGAAAAGTCAAAACCTACATTCAAATTTCGTGATTAGGTTCATGTTATCTTCAAAAATTACACACATTATGGTGAAATTACAAATCCAACAGTACACACAACAAGCGGCTCTTACTTGACCTCTTGGTTGCCAGAACTTGAGAAGAATAATAGAATGAGAAGTAGAAATCAAAAGTTATAACTCAAATTAGGTTCAAATTGAATCGGTTAAATTACACGCATACTTAGAATTTATAAATTCATGGTTGTAACAATATGCACAAAAATATACTTTGGGTTCTACTAATAGCGAACAAGTTTCATAGGTAAAAAAACCATTTCTCTTTATATGGGGGCTTTAGAAGCATTCTTCATTATTTTTTAAATTTTTTACAATTTTAAATTATTAAATTACATTCAAACGATTTTCTTTTTTTCAATTATTTTACTATGTACCCTTTAAAACTATCCATATATTTCCATTGACTAGACATTATTATTTTAATTTATTTGAAAACTTATGTTTACTTCTCAATTTCTTCTAATAATTTTTTTATAGGATCACTTTAGATAGGCAATATAGATGGAGAAAGATGAGGGAGAAAAACTAAAAACGATGACAGTGGATTATAAGGTTTGTGCATCATACATGGAGAAAGACACAATTCATTGGTTGGATAAGTAAATATTCAATGCAACGAGAATATCATGCCAGTATTATCATATGATTAAATATAAACTGTGTTTGAAGTCACTGTATAATATGAAGGATTTTGAAAAGGATTTTTGTAATCGTTGAATGAGTTTATTTGAGACCGTTAAATGAATTTTTTGAAAATTTTTCTATTTTATATTATAGAATATGTAATTCAACCCAATTCACTGGGTTGGATAATTAAATATTCAATGCAATGATAATATCATGTTCATATGGCTAGATGTGAACTGTGTCTAAAGACACAGTGCAATATGAATGATTTTGAAAAGAATATTAGTGGTCGTTAGTCTATTTGAGACAATTTGATGAACTTATTAAAACTTTATCTGTTTTATATTATAGAATATTATTCACTAATAATAAAATATTAAATGTATCGAAGGGATAGTTATTAATTTATGTGTAGTCTATTTTCTTATTTGTTTATTTGTTTATATATTATTGACGGTAACACATGACAATCCTGAGGCAGTACTAACGTTGTATTTATGGTAAATTATATTCACACCCCCTGAACTTTGTCACTAAAATACATAGACCCACTCAGGTATGACATATTACAATTACACTCCTATCAGTCATAGTCAACTAACCCATCTAACGGAAATATTAGAAGGACTATTTTGCCCTTATTCAAAATAAATAAAACCAGTCTACCACCGACACAGAACCTCTCCCTTATCCCTTTCCACTGCCCACCACCGACCCTTTCTCTCTCTCTGTTACAGCCACCATCAAACCCGCCACCGACCCCTCCCTTTCTCTCTGTATTATATCCCTAACAGCCACCGTCAAACCCACCACCGACCCCTCCCTTTCTCTCTGTGTTCTATCACTAACAACCACCATCAAACCCGCCACCGACCCCTTCCTCTCTCTCTCTGTTCTATCCCTAATCGCCTATGAAATCCACCACCATAATAGCCACCATGAAATCCACCACCATAACAGCCACCATCAAACCCATATCACCGACCAGCCAGACCCATCAATACATCACCACCGCCGCCTGCCCAACACCCTCTTCCTTATCGCCTGGTCCCGCCTGTGTGTCCCGTGTGTGGTGTTTTTGTGTGGAGAGAGAAAGAGAGAGAGTGGCAGAATTTGTCAGTTGGTGGAGTTGGCAGTTGGGACTTCGGAGGGGGTGGGTGGTGTGGTGGAGGTTTTTGCTACAAATTAAAAAATTTTGGGTTTTGCATATATTTATTTAGTGATTTAATTAATGGATATTTCAGGGGTAATTTAGGAATTTTGTTACAAGAATTGGTTGAACTCATTGAGATTTAACGGTCCTCTGGACGAACTTTTACACCAGGGGGTTATTTGTTACATCATATCAAACTTTAGGGGGCGGTGGTGTTATATTTTATACTTGAAGGGGTCCGTCTGTATTAGTGACAAACTTTAGGAGGCCTTGATGTAATATGACGTTGTATTTAATATTATCTCGGGTTGGACAAGGAATATTGTAAGCTTTTGAAATATGCAAAAAAGTGGGTGAAATTTTAATTAAAGAGATTCAAAGTACATTGGATTGACAAAGTTTTGGGTAAAATTTGGGAATTTTGTAAAATAGTGGGAGAATTATTTCGCCGCCCGGCCCTAGGTCAAATTCCCCCGACAAGCCCATATCGCGGAAACCAAAGACCAAATAGTGTGGACCGTCTGGTTCGTCCCTAACCTCTATCGGACCATCCACGAGCCTATATAGTCTCAAGGCCTCCGACCATCGGAGACCGATTGTCCGATACGGTATATCTATACGCTTGTGAGCGCGTTCCTCATCTTTCGTTATTCTACGGTAGCCATTACAAACGCTCTTCTTTCAAAACCCTAGAAACGCAGAACCAGTCTATTCAAACCGCCCTTGTTAATATTTTTTTTTCCCCGGTACAGAAACCACTGGTTAATCAGTTATACCTGCAAATTCTCGGTGAATTGTTGGTGGTCTTGAGGACTTTTTGAAATGGACGGACATTGGAGAGAGAGAGCGTTAACTTTCCTCGCCGCAGCGAATAACCATGGCGATTTGGCGGTAAAGATGTCTTCTTTGAAGCAGGCCAAGGATATCCTGTTGTCTGTGGAGCCGTCTCACGCTGCTGAACTCTTCCCCTATTTGGTCGAGCTTCAGTCTTCGCCGGAAAGTGTGGTTCGAAAAGCCCTCGTCGAGTAAGTTCAAGATTTCCAAATTTCCATCCGTTTCAACACTCTGAATTGCCGCAGTTTCTTTATTTGATTTCTTAATAACTGCTCTTTTTTAGTGCATGTTTATTGTATGCAACGATGGTAGGCTGTTCGTATGAGAGGTTGATTTATATAATCAGAAAAAAATAGGGAAGGTATTTTTTGGTATTCCCAGTTTGTTATGATTGAACATTAGGTGGTTTAGAATTGAACTCAAGTTACTCAACTCTATCTTACCTATTTGGGATCGGCTACATGAATTTTATTTATCCTTTCAGCTGGGCCAGATTTCTTTGAAATCTTAGGCTATTATATCATGTTGACTACCTCGGTTTTAATAGGGTTTAGTGGCTTACTATAGGACAAACTATTTGGTAAATAGATTATAAGACCAACTATTTATGGTTAACTAGAATTTGGAACAGTTGGAAGACTGGATTGTAATCTCTTAAATTGTAGATATTGCTAGTGGCAAAGGACACATGTTGAGATATTGTGACAACTTGTTACTGGGTTACCAACACTATCCTTGCCTAATCTTAGTAAATGGGGCATAGGAGTTT